TGATAAACGAGCCTCTTACATGTGCACCTTAAGGAGGTATACAAGCACAGGGAGAAGTGTGAGCTTGAAGTCACTTGAAGCTCTCATTTTGAAGATAACAGCAATAATACATACCCTGGACGTGCAGATGACTTCGCGCAGGTTGATGTTCATCCAGTTATCACAGCTGACCAGGTGACCATTGTAAGTCTCTCCATTCTTCAGCTCCACCAGCTGGAAAGAGAAGGCGGGAGATTAGATGAAGGAACTGGCCACCCAGAGCACCAGGATATTGGGGGAAACACCTGGGGCCCTCCAGGTGTCGGGCAACAACCCCCCTCCGCATTCCAAAAACACCTCCCGGATCTAAAGAGGCCTTTCCCTCCCTCTCTCTCGCGGCCCTGGAGGCCTTTGGGGCAACTTTTGACACCCCCACAGCCCTTGCTTTGCCCTCCCAAAGCCCAGGACAGTGGGACCTTGGTTCCCAAATGCCTAAAAGTGTTCCGGTTCCTCTACGTTTTTCAGAAGCGGAACATCTGATGTCAACGATTGTTTCCGAGGCGCCTGCGCCAATCAGAACCCGTGCCTTGGTTTCCGAACGGTTTCCGAAAACAAAAATGCAAAATAAAGAGCAAAAACAAAAGTGCCAAACCTAATCCGTTCCGGAAGTCCGTTTGACTTCTGAATTGTTCAAAAACCAAGGCGCAGCTTCTGATTGGTACAAGTGTCCCGGAAACAAGAGCTGGCAGCCGCATCGGAGGTTCGGCTTCCAAATTTTTATCGAAAACTGGAAAACTTACTTCTGGGTTTTTGGAGTTTGAGAACCAAAGCATTTGAGAACCAAGGTCCTGCTGTATACCCCACCTTTCCCTCCCAGGAGTTCAAGGCAGCACTCATAGTTCTCCCCTCTTTATCCTTACAAGGCAGGCTAGTCCAAGAGGAGGGATTTGAAACCTGGTTTCCCAGGTTTCAGTTCAACACTCTAACTGCTACACATCGCTGTCTCTGGTTTGGTTCCAGATTAGTTCCCCCCCCCCCCGAAAGCCAGTTTTCTGTATGCAGGGATTTAAAAATGAATAAAGTTGAAGGTGCCTCCAGCCACAGTCTGAAATTGTACAGCTCAGCAGCGCGTCAGCCTCCTCCTCTGCAGTTTGACTGAAGGCTAGACGCGCCCCGGACTCACCATGGGGTGGTTCTGCGCCGTCTTCAGCAAGGAGAGCGGAAGCTGCAAGAGGAGGGCAAATTGGGCAGGTTGAGAAACACACCTGGCAGGTAGAGGAGTCTTCACAGTCGAGCCGACCTTAATTGTTGCCATGCTTTTCAGAACCTAAGCAGAGCCCTGCTGGATCAAGCCAAAGGCTCCTGCCCTCACACTGCCCACCCAGACACCCCAAAGGGAAGCCCCCCAGCAGGACTTGAGCAGGCAGCCGCAACTCTCCCCACTCGAACCACCCTGAGACCTCCGGGTATAGGGCAGTATACAAATTCAATAAATAAGAAGAATTGTGATTCCCAGCTGAACAGAACCCTCAGCTTCCTGGGCATCAGGGGGGCGCAGCAGCCCCCATTTCCTTACCTTGGAGGGAGGGAAATAAGCCACACTTCCACTGCCTTCCTCTAGCAATCTTACCCCAGTAAAATCCACTGAACTCAATGGGGCCGACTGCTGAATGAATATCTGGAAGATGTGGGGAGGGAACCACTTTGGCAGTATCCAAGGGGGAGGCACACAAACACCCCTCCATTGCTTCACACTAATGCTGCAATCTGGTAAATGCTCAATGGGTCTCATCCCTCAAGGAACCGGCTTACCTGGGAGGCGGGGAGGAGCGAACCCCTTTTGCTTGACCCAAGCCCCCTCCCCACGTGAAACCCCCACCTCCTTGTTTGACATTTGCACTGCCATCCGAAGCACATGCCTACTTTGGGCACACTCCATTGAGCTGAATGGGTCCTGCCCCTGAGCGACTCAGCTTACCTGGGGTGGGGGCAGCAGGAGGGAGCCCCCATTGCCTTACCTGGGGTGGGTGGAGAGAGGCTGCTCCACTGTCTTCCTCTAGCCCCCCAGGCACCCACGTCGCCCCCTCCCAGGATACTCCATTGAGCTGAATGGGTCCTGCCCCTGGGTGACTCAGCTTACTTGGGGTGGGGGCAGCGGGAGGGAGCCCCCATTGCCTTACCTGGGGCGGGTGGAGAGAGGCTGCTCCACTGCCTTCCTCTAGCCACCCCTGGCTAGAGGATTCCCACTTTTCCCCTTCCCAGGACACTCCATTGAGCTGAATGGGTCCTGCCCCTAAGCAACTCAGCTTACCGGGGGCGGGGGGCAGCCCCCATTGCCTTATCTGGGGTGGGGAGGGAGAGGCCGCTCCACTGCCTTCCTCTAGCCCCCCAGGGACCCACGTTGCCCCCTCCCAGGACACTCCATTGAGCTGAATGGGTCCTGCCCCTGAGTGACTCAGCTTCCTGGGGGAGCAGGAGGGAGCCCCCATTGCCTTTTCGAGTGGGGTGGAGAGGCTGCTCCACTGCCTTCCTCTAGCCCCCCAGGCACCCACGTCGCCCCCTCCCAGGATACTCCATTGAGCTGAATGGGTCCTGCCCTTGAGTGACTCAGCTTACCTGGGGTGGGGGCAGCAGGAGGGAGCCCCCATTGCCTTACCTGGGGTGGGTGGAGAGAGGCTGCTCCACTGCCTTCCTCTAGCCCCCCAGGGACCCACGTTGCCCCCTCCCAGGACACTCCATGGAGCTGAGTGGGTCCTGCCCCATAGCCACTCCCCGTGTGAGCCCCCCCTGGTTTGACCTGGGGCGGAGAAGCCCCTCCCCGCGGTCTTACTCCCGAGTAGACCCCCCCCCGAGCCCCCTCCCCCTCTGCCCAGCCTCACCATCTTCCTTCCCGCTCACGTTGCTGCTGCTTCTACTGCAGCTCCGCCGCCCCAGCAACGTCGACTTCCGCTTCCGGCTTCCGCCCGCCGAAGGCTTCGGCCTCAGCGCCCGTCCAATGGGGAGCCTCCTGAGAGGCGGCCGTAAAGCGGCGGGCGGAGCGGCGCGCGCGACAGTGTCGCAAAGAGGCCGCGGGGCGGAGGGTCCTCTTTACCCAGCAGGCCCCGCGGCGGAGAAAGGAGCGCCTTGCCCACAATGCAGCGCGGCGGCCAAGGAGGAGCAAATAGGAAATAAATATTGGCCTCAGTTTATTTTGTGGTGCCGTGTTTCTTTAATAAAAAAACAACTAAAATAAAAATAAGCAATTTTTTCCCCTGAGCTCCTACTCATTTTCTTTTCTAAATACTTTTAAACTAAAACCACAATTACACTTTTAAGTGTGTTGCAAAATGGAAAAAATATATGCACTAACTGTATCATTGTGTGTGGGTGATTTTCATAGTTGTTTGGCTTTTTTGCAAGCGGCTTCCCATTGTTTTCTGCAGAAAAAGCAGGAAAATCATCATCATCATCATTTTTAATTTGTATACCGCCTTTCTATCTTACAATACTCAAGGCCCCTCTACCCTTTTCATAGCTCTGTGGTCCCTCTACCTCTGAGGCCCCTCTACCCTTTTCATAGCTCTGTGGCAACTCTACACCTTTCTTGTCTCTGAGGCCCCTCTACACTTTTCATAGCTCTGTGGTCCCTCTACCGTTTTCTACCTCTGAGACGCCTCTACACTTTTCATAGCTCTGTGGTTCCTATGCCCCCTTGGGGCCCCTCTACCCTTTTCCTAGCTCTATGGCCGCTATATCCCCTTCCTGCCTCTGAGGCCCCTCTACCCTTTTCCTAGCTCTGTGGCCTCTCTACCCTTTTCTACCTCTGAGACGCCTCTACACTTTTCATAGCTCTATGGCCTCCTCTACCCATTCTACCTCTGAGGCCCCTCTACACTTTTCATAGCTCTAAGGGGTAGAGCAGCCACAGAGCTATGAAAATTGTAGAGGGGTCTCAGGGGAAGAATAGGGGGAAGAGGGGACCACAGAGCTAGGAAAAGTGTAGAAGGGCCTGGGGGGGCAGAATAGCCATAGAGCTAGGAGAAGGGTAGAGGGGCCTCGGGGGGGGACAGCGTGGCCATAGAGCTAGGAGAAGCGTAGAGGAGCCTGGGGGGGGCAGAGTGGCCATAGAGCTAGGAGAAGGGTAGAGGGGCCTGGGGGGGGCAGAGTGGCCATAGAGCTAGGAGAAGGGTAGAGGGGCCTGGGGGGGGGGCAGAGTGGCCATAGAGCTAGGAGAAGCGTAGAGGGGCCTCGGGGGGGGCAGAGTGGCCATAGAGCTAGGAGACGTGTAGAGGGGCCTCGGGGGGGGGGGGCAGAGTGGCCATAGAGCTAGGAGACGTGTAGAGGGGCCTCGGGGGGGGGGCAGAGTGGCCATAGAGCTAGGAGACGTGTAGAGGGGCCTCGGGGGGGCAGTGGCTATAGAGCTAGGAAAGGAGTAGAGGGGCCTAAGGGGCAGAATAGGGGGAAGAGGGGACCAGAGAGCTATGAAAAGTGTAGAGGGGTCTCAGGGGCAGAATAGGGGGAAGATGGGAACACAGAGCTATGAAAAGGGTAGAGAGGCCTGAGAGGTAGGAAAGGGTAGAGGAGCCATAGAGCTAGGAAAATTCTAGAGGGGGTCTCCGAGGTAAAATGGGGTAGAGGGGCCATAGAGCTATGAAAAGGGTAGAGGCGTCTCAGAGGTAGAATGTGGTAGAGGGACCACAGAGCTATGAAAAGGGTAGAGGGGCCTCAGGGGTAGAGGCGCCACAGAGCTATGAAAAGTGTAGAGGGGTCTCAGAGGTAGGAAAGGGGCAGAGGGGTCTCAGAGCTATGAAAAGATAATTACACTAAGTCATCAATTTAAAAAGGAATGATGTTTGGGAGTTGCTGGGAGCCGCTCTGGCCCTCCCCTCTCCATGGTGAAGCCGGAAAGCGGAAGCAGGAGGGGAGACCATCGAGAGGGCGCTCCGGTGCCGCTCTAGGCTTCCCTCTCGCCGCGTCCTCCTTGGGCCTCCGGGCGGGTGGGCGGGGCGGGGCGGTCACGTGCGGTGGGCGGGGCCTGGCCGGAGGGGCGGGGCGCGGCGGGCTGGCTGGCTCAGTCGCCTCAAGTTGGCCGGGCAGGAGGGAGGCCGGCGGGGCAGGAGCCATGGAGAAGCCGCGGCGGCTGGTGGTGGTGACGGGTAAGGGCGGCCTGGAGCCAGAGGAGGGGGCCGGGTTCGGGTTTTTAATGGGGGGGGGGATTCCTGGGGGGGGGAAGCATTTAAGGGCCGAACTTTGTCCCCCCTCGAAATGTGCCCCCCCACCTCCCGCCACCCCCGCCTCTGGTTCCCCCCGCCTTTGGTTCCCCCTCCCTAATAAACGAAAGTTCTGACTTGTCACTAACTTGCCATTTGTTTCTCTTCCTCTCCTCCACTTTTTTTAATTAAAAAAATCCACACTTGCCTCGTTTAATTAATGCTCAATGATTGGCCCCTCCCTCTTTAGACCCTCCCTCTCTTTTTCCTGTTTTTTCTTTTAAACTTAGCTCTTCTCACAATTCTAAATAAATAAGTAAATTTCCCGTTATGTGATTGAAGCAACAGCTTAATTAATGCTCATTAATTGGCCCCTCCCTCTCTCGAGCCTTCCTCTCTTTCCTGATTTTTTTTAGAACTTAACTCTTCGCAAAATTAAGGAGAAAGAAAGAAAGAAATGGTGTGATTTCCCGTTATGTGATGGAAGAAGCAACAGTTTAATTAATGCTCATTAATTGGCCCCTCCCTCTTTAGATCCTTCCTCTCTCCCCTGTTTTTTTTAAACTTAACTCTTCTCAAAATTAATAATAAATAAACGCTGTGCTTTCCCGTTATGTGACTGCAGAAGCAACAGTCAGCCCCACCCAACAGAGCCCTCTAGGATTAAACTCTTCCTTTTTTTCCATCCCCCTTTCTTTCTGCTGCTGCTCCAGCCCTTTCAACTCCCCTCCCCTGAATCATCTCCCTGAAATAATCTCTCCTTCCCTCTTACTCATTTTCTTTTGACCCTTCCCCTGAATGCCTTCTCTCCTTCCAGCCTTTCCAAAGCTCCTCCTCCTTACCCCCCCCCAATAACTATATTTATCATCGCCTCATTCAAATTGTTACCTACTGAAATTTTAAACCAGATCTTCTGGGAAAGTGGCGTGAAGGGTGGTTTGGGGGGGGACAGGAGAAGAAGGTTCCCAGTTGTGCTTTTGTGAAAGTAATCCTTGGGCAATTTAGGGCGATTGTGTGAAAATTATGTTGTATGTGTGGTTGAGCAAAGCTCTTTTCGTTGTGTGTTATTGAGGGGGGGTGTCCTCTTGGCTAACATTCATAAATTATTATTTTTATTAACAATAAAGGCGCAGTGTTACTGACACCATTTTAAGGTGGCATATAAACAGTCAGGTTTTTTTGTTTGTGTGTTGGAAGAAAATCAGATTCCCGTTGTCATGCTCTGTGTTTCAAGGCTAGCTTAACTTGCCCTGGGAAAGTCCCATGGAAATTGGCTCAGGGTCTGTTGTTGTGTCTCTTGTCTGAGATGGGGGGGCTGGCTTCTTCGCCAACTCCCCCCTCTCCGCTTTCTGGGGGCGGACTCCTTTTTCCCTGCAGCTGGAGACCTTGGAATCAAATGCAAACTCCGACAAGTGGTTGAATGCACAGCCTCCTCTTAATTTCCCAGATTCTCCCCCCCCCAAATACCAGCTCTGAAATCACGCCTAGGGGAAGACGGGTTGGGGGGGGAGCCAGCGGAGTTGACTTGCAAGAAAGGAGTCCAAAAATGTTGCTCCCGGGAGTTTTCCTGCAGTGGGTTATTCGAAACAGCAGAGTTGTGTCTGAGAGAGAGGAGGGGCCGGAGAAGGCTGGGGGGGGATGAGGCACAAAAGGGGGTGGTATCTGGGGGGGTGAGCAGAGAGATGGGAACAGCCTCTGGACTGGGGCATGGGGCTCAGAGGAGTGACGCGCTTCTTCCCACCTGCGCTTCCCCGTCATGGGAGTCAGAGCAGCACCCTCTGGACCAGCTGGGGTGGCCTGAATTCGAACCCGAGACACACCCACTTGGCTCCTGGCAGCGAAAGAGGTGCTGGTCTTTGGAGCCCCATTGCTGAGATCTCCAGCCCAGCATGTGAAGCTGTTTTTGCACACCTGTGGAGCACGACTGCCTTGCAGACGTGTTGAAAGTAAAATTGGATTTATTTATTATTATTTTTTTCAGAGGAGACCTTCCTTTTCTTGCCGCAAGAGGAGAGCACTGAGTGCCACAGGCGTCATGTCCACAAGTGCGCTCTCTCTCTCTCTTTCTCTCTGTCAAGATAATCTGGCATTTGGGAGCAGCTGGCTTCCCGCTAATTAGCCAAGGAGGCCTCTGGTGTGCCCAAGCACCCAGAAGGACTCTGAAACACTCTATTGAATTCTTATCTGATGGCAGGCCTCTCTCCTTGGTTGTGGAAGGAAGAATGGAACACAAAAGGAGCCCTCTGTCTGGGGGGGGGGGGGAGAAGGGGGAGAGCGGCTGTCTTCTCTGCACGCGCGTGCACACACACACACACACACACACTCTCTCTCTCTGCAGCTATGTAGCAGGCCGGCACCTGTAGGATTACCAGGCTGAAATTGTGCTCTCGGAAATATGCCTGTTATTATTTACAGACTTCCTTGTTTTTTTAATGAAAAAGGGAGAGGAACAAATAGATCCGGTTTGTAGGTTCCCTGATCGTCTGTAGGATGACCTTTGGGTGACCGGACTTGGAAAATGTTGGTTAAAGTTGGCTGTCTTTCTCCCTCGTTCTGGGTCAAAAATGGCGGGCAGGCAGATTAGAGCCATGTAACTTCCTGCAGGTCCCTTTTTATGAGTCTGAGGCTGCCAATATGAATTGCCTTCCTTGTGCCTTAAAAGTTTCTGAAGAAGTGTGCATGCACACGAAAGCTTATACACAGAACAAACTTAGTTGGTCTCTAAGGTGCTACTGGACAATTATTTAAACTTTATTTATTTCGACTGCGTCAGACCAACACGGCTACCTACCTGAATCTAGGTTTTTTTATTTATTTGGGAGATCTCACTCCAGGAAACTGGCACTCACCTTAATAGCTAGCATCCCTTTGTCCTAAGGGTGCCCAGACCCCAATTTAATGCTTTCTGTAAATGGGTACACTGCTCTCCCCTAAACTCAAGATCTTGGGGGGGGGGGTAGGTAAATTCTGGCACTTATGGGCACCCACAAAGGAGGCATGCATGTCAACAGAAGCTTACTGCCCTATCTGTGCGGTTTTACCAGCCTTGCAAATAGCAGCTCGCCTATGGTGAGTAGAAACAGGCCTCCAGACGATCAGGTACCAATACTTTGTGCTTTGTAATAAAAAATCATTGTCATGTCAGCAAGCTCCTCCAGTACAGTAAGGAAAAATCTGACCTCTCACAGGCCCTGGGCGACTTAACCATTAGCCGGGGTGCAGAATCCAAGACGTTCTCATTCAGTAATTACAATTATGGGTTGCTAGTTAACTAAAGTTACTCATTACTGAGCCAAAGGGGCATTCTTAGCAGAATGCTGGCGTAACCTTTGCGTCTTGGGCCAATTCTTACGTAACGCAGCTTTGTCAAAGGAAATGTTTACTAAGTAAAAAAATCTGGTCGGGAGGAAAGAGCGCTGGACTTCAGACCCCATCGACTTGAGTTCAGATTCCTTCGGGGGGTAAGACGTTCGCTGAGAAAGCCAGTCTCTGCCTGCCTGTCCTACCTTACAGGGTTCTTGTGAAGCCAGAGTGCAGGTGTGTGTTTGCATTCTTGGGCGTGGATTTGATTGGCAACTGGGACACACATGCCTGGGCTGGCAGAGCTTGACCACAGCAGTTGCCGACTTCCGTGTTCGATGACTGCAGTGCAGTCTCTGTGAGGGTTTGATCCAGAATCTGCAGTTAGTGCAGAATGCTGCAGCATAGTTGCTGACACCTCAGCATGGGTGTTAATTTTAATACTGCATCTAAAAGTCCATAGCCGCTTAAGACCAGCTTATTGCCTTGATCTCTTTGATCTGCTGAGTTGGCAAAGACTGGCTTTTGCAATTCATCATCATCATCACTTTTAATTTGTATGCCGTCTTTCTATCTTGCAATACTCGAGGTGGTTTACAAGCTGAAGAAACAAAGAATGTACACCAGGGGTCAGCAAACTTTTTCAGCAGGGGGCCAGTCCACTGTCCCTCAAACCTTGTGGGGGGCCGGACTCTATGGGGGGGAATGAACGAATTCCTATGCCCCACAAATAACCCAGAGATGCATTTTAAATAAAAGGACACATTCTGCTCATGTAAAAACACGCTGATTCCTGGACCGTCCGAGGGCCGGATTGAGAAGGTGATTGGGCCGGATCTGGCCCCCAGGCCTTAGTTTGCCTACCGATGCCTTATAACAATCTAATGCAATACAAAAAAGTGAGAATAAAACCTAACTTTAAAATAAGCAACCTACATCAAATAAAGTAACATTCAGCAATCATTAGAATTGTATAGAATCATAATATCAGCATATGAAAAGTAAACATGAATTCACTCTTAACAATTACAATGAACAATTTCTAAACTACAATCAAGAAAACCACTGCAAGCCACGGTGCATAAAATAATACAATACAAATTGAGAAGCAGAGACTGGAGGAGGGGGCAGAAGGCCTTGCCTGATGAAGTCTCTCCCCTCTTGTAAGAAGTGAATCCCTCGGTGTGGCAGGACCCACACTTGGACTCAGAGAATCATAGAGTTGAGCTGGAAAGGGACCCTGAGGACCATCTAGTCCACCCCTGCAATGCAGGAATATGCAGCTGTCCCTTATGGGTACCAAACCTGCAACCTGGGCGTCATCAGCGCCACGCTCTCAGCAACTGATCAGAACTCCCTGCTTGAAACAGTTTTTGTTTTGGCAAAGAAGACACTCCAGAGCACGTAGAAGTTGAGTTTTCTCTCTCTTTCAGGACAAAGGTGCTTCTGCTGGTGCAAATATCAGTCTTTGTGTCCCCATCACTTGCACGAGGGAGGGGGGAATTGAAATCTCTTGGAATCAGTTTTGAGGGGGTATTTTTGCTTTGTTTTGGGGGGGGGGCCTGGGGAAGTGGCAGGAAATGTATTCCCAAAGTGGTGTCTCCCAGGAGAATATCGAGGTCAACAGTATCAAAAACAATCCAGTGGATCTTACTTCAGAGTAGACGTGCATAGGATGGAGAATTCTAGCGTGGTTTAGTGGTTAGGGTGTCACACTAGGACCCCGGGGACCAGGGTTCAAATACCCCCTTGGACCAGTCACCGTCTTCTCTCTCAGTCTAGTCCTCCCTCCAAGGACTGGGGAGAACTCTGCTCACTGCCTTGAACTCCTTGAAGTATGAAGTTATGGGTGAGAGATGGGGAGGGGCAGCGCATGGTTGGGGGAGCTGTGGCTCTGCCCATGTTGCTGGACTCCACCTCCCAGCAGCCATCACGGCTTGGCGGTCAGGATGGTGGGAGTTGGAGTCGTCAAAGATTTGGCGCCCCCAGATCCAGGCTGCCAGCCATGCTGGGATGTAGCCAGTGTGGTCTCGGACCTGGGAGAGATGAGTTCAGATCCCCACTCAGCTATGAGGTGGCCAGGTACTCGGCCAAGCCTCCCTGGCAGGGTTGTTCTGAGGATGGCAGTGGGACAGGATGGTGGGAGGGGGGAGTCAGCCTTGTTTGGGGACGCTCAGACCCGCCAGCGAGCCCAGAGCCACGTCGGTGAAACCTCTGCTTGTGTCGTTCCAGGGTTTGGCCCGTTCGGGGAGCATTCGGTCAATGCCAGCTGGATCGCGGTTCAGGTAAATGGTGCGAGTTCTCAAGGTCTTTGTCCCATAGAAAGTAATGCAAAATGGATTAGTCCGTTCCAGACTTTTATAAACAACTCCTAAAACACGAATTTAACATGAATTTTACTATCCAACGAGACCATTGATCCATAAAATGAAAGTAATAAACAATGTACTGCAGTCACACAATCAACCAACCAGTACCTGAACTGGGTTCTGCACAGTCGCAAAAGCAAAACAAAAAGAGCCGCAAAAACAAAAACACAAAATAGCAAAAACAGACAGACCTCAGCGTAATGCTCAAAACGGAAGTGTGGCACTCAAATTGGACGCGTAACACTCAAAACAAAGCACATTCGGCTTCTGCACCGAGTCTGACCCCTGGGCCACGTAGCAACTGATATTCTAAGCGAGGCAAATTGCGAAATTGCGACTGAAAGCCTGGCTCCGAATTTAAGGCACAGCCAATCTGCTGAACGGGAAGTTGGTGCCCCCCCCTCCACTCCATCCCAGTCCCCTCCCCTTCTAAGTCAGGAGCTCTGGGAATATTCCTTTTTCCGAATGCTTTCAAATTAAACTCTGAGCCCGTAATCAATTGCAGCCGACTAATGGACAGCCAGCCAGATGTCTGGGCCATGACTGTGTTTGCATCTCTCTCCTCTCTCTCCCCCCCCCCCATTCCGCCCCCTCCCCTCCTTCAAAACCAGCTTCTTGTATTTGGCAAGGCCCTGGGCTGCAGGTGAGACGGATCCTGGCTCTCGGCCTCTGGTGCAGAATGCCTGGGGAAAGGTGTTTTGGCACCTGAACTTTGCCTCCAACAATAAGGGGTGGGAGATCACACTTGGCCAAGCAAGAAAAGAAGATATGGTGTTGGGGGGCGTTGTTCTTAATCAAGCCTTTGCCATATGTGACATGCCCTAGAATTATTCTTTAATGGAATACATCTTTAGTTTAGAAACATAGAATTGGAGAGGGCCATCTAGTTAAATGCCCCCCAGCCTTGCAGGAATCCACCTTTTGCCCCGTGTGGGGCTCGAACCCATGGCCCCCAGATTAAGAGCCGCCTGCTCTTCCCCAACTGAGTTGCTCCAGCCGGCAGTTCCACAGAAGGGCCCAAGGCCTGCCTTCTTCAGGTGATTCAGGCCCTCTGCCTGGTTCCCTGTTCTCGCAGTGAAGGACCCACCAGAAGGCCCTTGGGAGAGGGACCCCGGTGTCCGGGGTGGAGACGCTCCTTCAGGTCTACTGGGCCAGCTAAAGAGGCGGATTGGCATTTGAGAGCGTGAGCTTGCAAAAGTGGCTCCGCTGAACCCCAGGAAATGGTCTCCAGTGGGAGTGAGTTCCACAGTTCAACTGCGCACGAAGGAGGACTTTCTTTTCTCTGCTCAGTGCCACGACTTCTGATGTTAGTTGAGGTGTTAGCCCATGTTCCCCTGTAGTCTGCTTTTTAAAATACAAAGCCCAATTTTATCAGCCTAGTTTCTCTGCACTTGGGGAAACTCAGACAAGTTTTATATTTCAGTAGCGGACACCAGTCCTAATGTAGCCAAGTTCCTCGCTGTGTCCTTCAAAACGAGGACATGTTTGTTAAAAGGAAAGATAAGGACTCTGTATTTTGAAACTCCCTTTTTATTGTGGATTTGGTTACACGCTTGCATTAAAAGTCACCGTCTGTGTGCATGCAAAGAGCGAGGGTGTCCCCTCTGTTGCAGTAGCCTTAATAGCCCCGTAGTATATCTGAAGTCTGGATGGGAGAGAAATTTGGTTCAGCTTCCATTTAAAGGCGCCCCTTCCTCATTCCTGCTCCCCAGGTGAACTCGGATGCAGCCATCCTTCGAAAGGTGTGCTTCTCAAACGTTTTGCAACACAGTTCTTCCCCCCTGAGTTAAGGGGGAGGAAAAAGTTGCATGCTTTGGTATCGTTTACCGTGAAACGTGTTCGTTCGGGAGACAGAGCGTTCAAAAATGAGCGACGTTAGGGAAAATTGCTTTGGGAAAAGGGTGCAGACAAACATGTTACCGTACTTTTCCGTGTATAAGACTAGGGTTTTTTTTACTCTAAAATAATGTTAAAAAACAGGGGTTGTCTTGTACACGGGGGTCATCTTCCCCCATTTTCATAGATTTGAGTCCCCCAAAATATAAACACGGAAAAGTATGGTAATTTGGAGGAATCAGCAGTAAAATATTGACAAATTTTGGGGAGGGCTGTTTGCGGTTAGTTTTTTAAGCTGAATTTAAGCCTGGGAAAATGAGAAACAGAAATGGAACGCCCCCTCAATCCCTAAATGTTTATGACCCCTCCACGGAGAAAAATCCCTGGCTGGTTTCCAGCACCATCTCAGCCGAAAGTTTCCCCCCGCGTTGAGCTGCGAGGTGGGACTTTCTTTTGCCTCTTCCCCGTCCCAGCCTGGAGGGGCCCCTGCAAAAGAGAGGCAGCCCACCCCCCCAGGCGGCTTTTGAACACGTGCAAAGTGGACCTTTGTGTCTGCCTCAGACAGGACTTCATGGAGCTGACTGGACACAAAGACCTGTGTCTGAGTTTCTGAGTTCCAGACGGTGTGATCTGCATTTTAATAGACACAAAAATCAATTAAACAATCTTTGTAAATCCTCCCCCGGCTTTTTGGGGGGGGAGCACGCTAAGCAGGTTCCTGCTTTAATAAGTCTTGGGCGTCCTGCATCCGAAAGCTTTTGAAGGAAAAGAGAACGGAGGGGTGGGGGGGAGAAAGACCCCCCCCTCCAATTCCTTTTCTCCTGTTTAAGGGATTTATTTTTTGTCTTCCCCTCCAGGGTTGAATGTGTGTCTCTCAGCCCCCCAACCCAGCCTAGAACTGTCCCAACTCGAAAGTGCTCAATGGATCTTGGGGAGATCCGCAAAGCCTTGACAGTATTATGATTATTATATATAATATTTCTATTGCATTTCCATTTTTTAATATTAAAACACAGTCTTATTGTTCACCCTACTTTTTGCTCATATGAGCTTATCGACTTCCCGCCTCCTGGCTTTCAAAACTCATCTTTATATCATAGCAATCGCACACCCTCCGTTTCCCATTTTTTCCATTTCTGCTGCTCTCAGTTTTAAATAAGTGTAAAAAGGCGTCAATCTTGAACATTGCAGGACTTCTTACAACCCTGCCAGCGCTGACGGAATTATTAGAAAGCGCCCAGAGCCTGCTTGCTCCTCCAGGCTTTTTTACCCCATTGAAGGTGGATTTTTGCATCTTTGCAGAGCGAAGGCGCACAGCTTGCTGTTTGCAAAATTCACAAAGGCTTTCACTTTCCCAAGCCGAATCTGCTCTTTTTTGCAGGGACACACTTTTTGGCAAGCCGGCTGTTTCTTTTTCTTTTCTTTAAAAAGTTGGCCTGTGGTCCAGCAGGTTGCCGGGGGCCCAGGTGTGTCCTGCGGACTGTGAAGTTGTTGGGGGGCTCCTGCTCCCCCCATTTTCCAAATCCCTCGGAGGAGGGAGGTCAGAGCAGCGAGTCTCCCCATCCCTCCTAGACAATCACTGTCAGGACGTCTAGACAGACCAGATAAGGATATTAGATTCGCACAAAGCGGCCCATTGTGGAGAGGTCAGGGAATCGGTCACACACGTGGTTTCCCCCTTTCTGCATTTGTCAGGTACGCCCAAGGCAGCGGGGAAGAATGTTTGGTGGCAGGGAATGTGGCCTCTTTCTCTCTCCCCCCTTTTAATAATCCACGCGTGGTTTTAAAAAATAAAATACAAATACAAAATAAAATACAAGTGTTGTTCCTTCCAGATTTTGCAGGAAAAAATAACAGCAACCCAAACCCAGAATATCTTTCAGCAAGGAGTTAGTAAAGTACACAGGAGAGGAAGCCAAGTGTTCAAACCTCAAGGAGAGAGAGAGAGAAAGAAAGAAAGGGGGAAAGGGGGTTGTGGGTTCTTACTTGAACTCTAAGCACCCCAGATGCGCTGGTGTTTAAAACAGAGACCCCCCCCCAAAGATCCAGTTTATTTAATTTCACGAAATTCATTTCCCGCTTGTAAAACGCACACCAAAGCGGTTCATGAAAATGCTGAAACGATGTAATTATCCCTTAGTAAAGCTTTCCCAAAAAGTTAACTGTGGCTAGGAACAGATCAAACGTCCCACCAGCTTTCTGAGCATCTGGGAAGACTTGTCTAAACAGAAATCTGTTCCGTAATCCTGTCCTCTCCGTGGCCGACTGGAATCCCTAACGCGGAGTTTGCAAGCAGGGTTTTGCAGAAGAGCATGTCCCGTGGTTCCCAGCACCTGGGATTCTGCAGCCTTGCTGCCTCCATGGGAGCATTGGGGCCGTCGGTGACCCCCTCCTCCTCCATGGACTGGGCTGGCCCTCTCTCAGAGCCAAATAGCTTGGCGGCCGTCCTGCCTCCTGCAGCAGGGAGTTCCATAGTTTATCTGCTGCGCAAATAAGTCCTTTGTCTTTTGTTGTTGTTTAGTCCTTTAGTCCTGTCTGACTTGCCTGCCCTGAATTTTCTGGTGTTCGGCTTCAAGTCCCAGCCTCCAAATGTGTTTGGGAGAGGACTGTGTTGAACTTCAGGCAGGGGAGGGCATTCTTGAGGTGGCCCCCTCCCCAATTCATCTCCCCACTTGGCACTTGGGACCCTCCTTAACCCGTGCCCCTTCTTCCTGATAGTGAGTCCTCGGCAAACAAGCCCTGTCCCTCGTGTGAGTTTGTTTTTCTCTCTGCTTAAAAATCTCTCCCCCGCCCCCCCCCCCGCCCCGCACGTTGTTCTCCTTTCCAGGAGCTGGAGAAGCTGGGCCTCGGAGACGACGTCGACCTCCACGTCTGCGAAATCCCAGTGGAATACCAGGCCGTGGAGCGGCTCATCCCTGCCTTGTGGAAGAAGCACAGCCCGCAAGTGAGTGAGTGAATGGCCGGGGGGGGGGGTGACAACGACGACACAGCAGCTGGGTGCCCACAGGAAGCTGCCTTACATAGAGTCATCATCATCATCATTTATTATTTATACCCCACGTCACTCTGGGCGGCTTCCAACAAGAGATTAAAAATACATTAAAACATCAGTCGTTAGAAACTTCCCTAAACAGGGCTGCCTTCAGATGTCTTCTAAAAGTCAGGTAGTTGTTGGTTTCCTTGGCATCTTGTGGCAGGCGCCACCACCGAGAAGGCCCTCTGCCTGGTTCCCTGTAACCTCACAGGGAGGGAACCGCCAGAAGGCCCTCGGGAGATGGACCCCGGTGTCCGGGGTGGAGATGCTCCATCAGGTCTACTGGGCCGTTTAGGGCTTTCAAGGTCAGCACCAACACTTTGAATTGTGCTTGGAAACATCCTGGGAGCCAATGTAGGTCTTTCAGGACCGGTGTTATATGGTCTCCACTCCCAGTCCCCAGTCTGGCTGCCGCGTTCTGGATTAGTTGCAGTTTCCGGGTCACCTTCAAAGGTTGCCCCATGGAGAGCGTGCTGCAGTAGACCATTGGGCCCACACTGGCTGGCAGCAGTGACTCTCCGCGGGTCCTGACAGGACATCTCTCCAAACCCTTCCGGAAGGTGCTGGAACCGTTTCCCGTTTCCATGAAGTGTCCTGGATGCTTTAGCCGAGATTCCAGCATTGCAGGGGGTTGCTGGGCTCTGCAATTCCGTAATTCATAACGCAACACCCATTTAAATAAGAGTATAGGACGCTGTCTTACCTTTGGTCCACCTAGCTCAGACCTGGCAGCAGTTCTCTCTCTCTTTTAAATAAGATTTTTCATAATACAATAAGGTAAAAGAAACTAATCTAAATAAAAACCCAAAGAGAGAAAGAGAGAGGGGGGGGGGAGAGAGAGAGAGAGAGAGAGAGGGAGGGAGGGAAAACACCAAAGAGAGAGAGAGAGAGAGAGAGAGGGAGGGAGGGAGGGAGGGAGGGAGGAAAAACACCAAAGGGAAGGAAAACCAAAATAAAGAGAGAAGAAAAATAAAAAGGACATTCAGTTTTCTGCCTGTCAGTTACGTAAAAGAAACCCACCCCCTTTTCCTGGCAGCGGTTCTCCAGGGGTTTCCGGATGTGGCGGGGAGGGAGGGATATTCCACGCCTGACCTGGAGAGACGGGCGATTGGCGCAACACAGCTCCTGTTCCCCTTGCAGCTGGTGGTCCACGTGGGCCTGTCTGGCATGGCCACCACGGTGACGCTGGAAAAGTGCGGCCACAACATCGGCTACCGCGGCCTGGACAACTGCCGCTTCTGCCCGGGCTCCCAGTGCTGCATCGAGGGGGGGCCCGAGTGCATCGACTCCGTCATCGACATGGACGCCGTCTGCAAGAGGGTCTCCACCCTGGGGCTGGACGTGGCCGTGACGATATCGAAGGATGCCGGCAGGTAGGCGGGGCAGACTCCCGGCTGGCGACAGAAGGAAGCCCCCCTGGCTCAGTGGTAAGGCTGAGCCCCAAACCCTGGAGAGCCTCTGCCCCTCAGTGCAGGCGGTACAGAACTAGGCGGAGGGAAGGGTCTGAACCTTTCAAAAGCAGGTCTCTCTGTTCCTCTGTTGCGGCAGGGAGTTCCGCTGTTGAACAATCAAAATCAGTTTAGCAAAGGCTAGAGCAGCTCAGGACCTCAATGTCTTACGGAGCGCCTCTCCCCATGCGAACTGATGCTGACCCTGCGCTTGTCAGCCAGGGACGCAGGTGGCGCTGGGGTCTCAACCACTGAGCCTTTTGGGCTTGCTGATTGGAAGGTTGGCAGTTCAAATCCCCGCGACGGGGTGAGCTCCCGTTGCTCAGTCCCTGCTCCTGCCCACCTAGCAGTTCTAAAGCATGCCAGTGCAAGTAAATAAATAGGTAGGCAGCGGTGGGAAGGTAAATGGCGTTTCCGTGCACTCTGGTTTCCGTCACGGTGTCCCTCTGCTCCAGAAGTGGTTTAGTCCTGCTGGCCACATGACCTGGAAAGCCGTCTGTGGACAAAGGCCGGCTCCCTCGGCCTGAGAGACGAGTGCCGCAACCCCATAGCTGCCTTGGACTGGACTTAACTGCCCAGGGGTCCTTTACCTTACCTTACCCATGCCCCCCACTCCCTGAGAGGGCCAGAGGGCGGCAACACGAGAACAGGGCCTTTTCTGCGGTGGCTCCCCGTCTGTGGGATGCTCTCCCCAGAGAGGCTCACCTGGGGCCATCATTGCATGTCCTTAGGCAAAACCAGTCCTCTTTACCCATGAAATAATCTATTGCCTATTAAAGCTGGGGGGTGGGGAAATGGGACTCTTATTATGATTATTTTATTCTGCTTTTTGTTGTGTTTTTACTACTATGAGTTCTTAATGTTGGCTCTCTGAATAGAGGGCAGTACACTGCAAACCTGGACCACTGTGTTCTGGTTTGTGAACTTTTTTGGAAGCCGAACGTGCTCCGCTTTGAGTGCCACACGTCCGTTTTGAGACTGCAGTACATTGTTCATTGCTTTCATTTTATGGATCGATGGTCTCGCTAGATAGTAAAATTCATGTTAAATGGCTATTTTAGGGGTTGTTTTTAAAAGTCTGGAACGGATTAATCCGTTTTTCCTATGGGAAAGCGCGCCTTGGTTTTGGAACGGACTTCTGGGATGGATTAAGGGACCACTATAAATCAAATTAACGCTAGCGAAGCGAGAAAGCCGTCCCTGCAGAGAGCCACGTTCTGCCGTTGAGCTCCGAGTTCTAATCCCCGGCTGCTTCTCCTCCTTGCAGGTACCTCTGCGACTTCACCTACTACACCTCGCTGTACCACAGCCACGGCCGCTCGGCCTTCGTCCACGTTCCCCCGCTGGGGAGGCCCTACAGCGCCGATCAGCTGGGGCGAGCCCTGCAGGCCATCATCGCAGCGATGCTCAGCGACTTGAAACACTCAGACAGCAACATCAATTGCCACAACGAGCACTGAGGCACGAGCCCCGCGTCCCGCCTGCTCCCTCGCTGTTGCACTTCTGGAAAAGAAACTTTTCTCACAGTACCTTGGGGGCGGGGGGGCGGGCTTTCCTTCCTGATTTTGAGCCGCAGGGCCCTCTCTGTATCCGGTGATCAGCGCTAACTCCCCAAGAAACGATTTTGCACCCTCTTTCAATTCTCCAGGTCCCCCCTTTCCAGACACAACTGGAGCAGTTTTTATTTTTGGATTGCCGCGGAGGAGTCAAGGCTTTTTTTTTTTAATTGTGCGTCTAGGATTTCGGAAGGGGGGGGAGCTTATGCCTCCTGCAATATCCAAGAATCCAAGCCCCAATTTGTATGAAAATTTTTGCCTCCTGTCTCGACTTGGGCTTTTCAAAAAGGGTGCATACAAAAACGTTGTAGCTTAAAGCAGAGGGCAGCGGAACGAACTCCTGCCCGGGGGAATTTTCTAACCCCTCGTCCAGGGGGTCAGAGCTTTCCACTCTGCCAGCCCCCCAAACGCCTCTGATGGGGCAGGAAAGGGGGTGGGGTGGAAAGAGGCCTCCTTTGCTCTGACCTAGGTTTTTTTTGGGGGGGGGTTGTTGGAGCAGATGACTCTTGGGGTCCCCTCCCATTATTATTTTTTTAAAGAACGAACGGACCTCTTTGCATTACTGCCTTTTTCAAACCTGGCAACTACATACCTCTGCATCCGAAGCGCACACCTTCTCTTCGGCTGGGTCTTGCTCCAGGAACTGGGGGCTGCCTTCTCCCCCCCCCAACACCCACCTGAGCCCTCTTTTCCAGTGCCTCAAAAGCTAGATGCTGCTCAGACTCCACCCCCCCCAAACACCACTTTGTACCTTAGAATCTCAGCGTGGTACTAGATCCCTTTTCTGAACTTTTTTTGCTGTGTCCTGGGAGGGGCCTCTGGAGTAAAACTGGAATGGTGCCGCCTCCTTGATGACACTTCCTAAGAAGATTTTTTTTGGGGGGGGGGACGACGACAATGAAGATGGAGGGGGAGACACCCCTGAGACTCGCCCAGACTCCTTTTCTTGCCTGGCAGAGCCGTTTCTCTGTGGTTGGAGCAGAAGATCCAACGGCCCCTCTCTGAAAAACATTCTGGATTCTGACAAAGGAGGGCTGCTTACTTACAAGTATTGCAGGAAAAAAATGTATATTTCCTTGTTCGAACATGGCAGGATGAGGGCGCCACGCTCAGCAGAGAGCTCAAAGAGTCTCGTTTTCAAAACCAGCGCACCAACTTCGCTCTAAAAAAGTCACGGGGCGTCGCAGACTTAAAAGGAGACGAACCTGAGTGTTTAAAAATCCCGAATGGAGTTGGGTGTCGCAGACTCTCCCGTCAAAATAGAGCTAAATGACTACTGTTTTGGCTTAGGAGGAGGAGGAGGAATATGTTCAAGTGGAAATATGTGGCTCCTTCTCTTCCCACCTCCCCTTTCTCTCTTTTTGTAAAAGAAAAGTTGATTGCTATTTGAATCTCTTAAAATCTTTAATTGGTTCTGCTTTCTCTAGTAACTCTCAGTGAGAGTTCCCCAAGGGCCCGTCTGCTTAGCCCAGTGGAATTGTCTTGGCGAGCGAGAGCCACGGGGTTCGGATGCCGGAGCGGAGCCGCTTTCTGGCCTCGCAAATGGGACAAGTGGTGGTGGGCGGCTTTCTGGACTGTGAAGATCCTTGTATATCTGAAGCGTCTTGAGCCCGTAGAGTCTACAATGGCTCCCGTTTCTGTTTAGTACAGGGATCTGGGTGGGGGGCGCGATCTGTGGCCGGCCAAATGTCGTTGGAGTCCATCTCCCCTCGTCACTATTGCCCCTGACAGCTGCCTGTCCAGCTCTCCAGTCTACATGGTGTGACCAGAAAGTTTGGTGAAGGGTCAGAAATCGGACAGTGAGAAATATTTGAACATACATGCCTTACAGGCCTTCAAAGTAGCCCCCTCATGGTCCAAATTGTAGCTCAATGTTCTCTCAATTGTAGCTCAATGCCAGTCGGTGTAGAACTGAGCTGGATGGACCCAGGGATCCGCCATGGAGCTTCTTCCTGCCTTCCCCTGAGCCACCAATTTGGGAGCGCGCTGTTGCCACTTGGGTCCTCCTTTTGGGCTCTCCTGGAGAGAGGAGGCTGGGCTGTGTGGGCCTGATCCGGCGTGCTCTTCTTAGTTTCCTTGTGGAACCTCCATAGACAGAGCCAGCTTCCCTTAGGACAGTGGAGAACAAGAGCAGAAGGTGGCTGCTGCGCTCTCCTCGCGAGGACAGGGTGCTGGGCCTAATCCAGCAGTTTATGACTGTCCTCCCACAAACACTGCAGTCCTCCTCCTCTCTGGCCTGCGCAGTGTGCTTTTTCCTGTGTCTGCCCACTTTAGTCCTGTGGGCTCTGGGTTTCCCAGAGAATTTCCAATCCGCCATCTGTCTCCCTTTTCCCAGTGCCCTAAATCACCCCCTTCAACCTTGAGAGTGCCAGATATTCAGGAATCCCACCTCCCATCATCACCAGTCAATTGATCAACCCGTCTCCTTTAGTGGAATATGCCTACGATTGTTCAGTAGAAAGGAAACCCTGGAGAAGTCGGTGTCATTTAATCTTGCTTTCAAGCATGGGGTTTAAATATTTCTGGTGGACTTTTGCAGTAAAACAAGACATGTGCAATGGGTTTTGATCTGTTTCATAGCATATTCCAGCTGGCAATTTTGCAGAGGGCATTTCTTGTAAGGGAAAAAGCTCTCGCTCCTGAAAGTCCCACCATTTCATTCTGTTCCTTCCATTTCTGGGCCGCTTTTCACTCACGCAAGTCACAAAGTGACTTGCAAACAAGAACAGAACATCACGACGACAGCGTAAATCACATAGAATAATTACCAATCGTCAGTAAAACAACTATTTTCTGTAAAGCACTATTAACAAAACAACAATAAAAATTAAGCCGAACAGCAGCTACACGCTTCCTGTTCTGGCTGAGAGCTGAGGATCCAAAATGCAGTGCTGGGAATGTCTCCCTTTTGCAAACCCTGGAGAACGGCTGCCCGTCAGTCAGAAGCGATGAGCCTGACTTCTACAGACGCCTTCCTCTGTTATTATGAAGTTGCTTCTGTTTTTCCATCTCAGGAATCCCACAAAAGCTCCACACTGCCCCCGCCTCACTTTTACATTGCTAGCTAGAATATGTAATTTATTTTATAATCTTACAGTTTTCACAAATAATTTGATTTGGGGTGGAGGGGGGAGGGAGAGGGAGGGGCCCACCACTGTTTCTCCGAAGAACCTTCACTTGGGTGCTGATTTGTTTTTAAAGTTGCATTAAAAGTCATTTTTATTTAAGCCGTTACAGAATTAAATGCGTGTGTTTGTGTTATTATTTTCCCTTTTTCACCTTCTCTCTCCTGTCCTGTTAAGTTTGCAGACTCATAAAGTATCCCCGTTTGAATGGAAATAAAAAAGCTTCTGATAATTCTTCAGTTCTCCAACCTGAAAAATGTGTCTACTGCTGGAAAAGCATGTGTGAAAATGCATATATTGGTGAAAAGAACATACCAGTGATAATAATACAGTAGAACCTTGGTTCCTGAACGTAATACGTTCCAGGGGTCTGTTTGCCTCCTAAAATGGTTCGAAAACCAAGGCACAGCTTCTGACTGGCTGCAGGAAGCCGCACTGGGTGTTCGGCGTCCAAAAAATGTTCAAAAACCGGAACAATCACGTCCGGTTTTTGATTGTTCAGGAGCCAATTTGTTTGGCTCCCAAGACATTCAGGAACCAGTGCATTTTTGTTGTATTGCAGAGACTTGAACGATCCCTTCCAACTCTGATTCTATGATATAAAAATAAATAGAGGAAAATTGCTTGCGAAAACTCTGGAATGCATATGAAAATTAATGGGGAAACAGCCAGATGGGCAGGGTACAAATATATTATTAATTATTATTATTATTATTATTAAGCCCATTCAGAAAAATTGCCAGCCTTTTAGAGTGGATTTATCCTAAATCTCCATACGAAAACATGTATATTTAGGAGAAACCTGTGCTGAAGCACTGTTGCATTTGTGTGTGTGTGTGGACACTTAAAATAATAATAAAACAATAGCAAAAGTGATGCTGGGATGTGGCGAGCGGAGCTGAAGAGTGGAGAAACGAGAAGTTGAGAGGGACAGATACCTGATTCAGACATGTTTGCCGCTGCTACGTAATATATGCCTGGGAGCAGCCCTGGGAGGCTGGCAACACCATTCGTGGAGTGCAAGCAGCCCAGAATCACGGGTGACTGGGAAGGAGACCTTCCTCTGTGTTTTTCTCATCCCCCTCAACCTCCCCCCCAAATATTGATGGTGCAATGTGACCTTTGGGGGGGGAGGCCCACCTAAGCCAGCCCCCCCCCGCGCTTCTGCAAACAGGGCCAGCAGGTGCATCCCTCCGGAACGATGCCAACCATTTCTGCGCATTTTTGCAGGACTTGTTTCCCACGCTCGGGGGCAAATGTATTTTTCCTTTTTTCCCTTTTAAATTGAGGCTGGAGTCAGGGTGCGCTGCATTTTGACGCCACCAGGTGGTGCTGCGTTACAGGCCATCCTCGCTTGGAGAGGGAACTTTGGCCCAGAGAAGCGATGCACTCTGCAGCTGCTCAGGAGCCTTGCCTTCCCTCCTCTCAAGCAACCCGTCCCAGTGGAGCCTCGGGGCGGAAAGCAGGAGGAGTCCAAGTAACGCAGGCCCCCGTCCCCCTCCCCGCTTTGGACAGGGGAGGCAGAAGAAAGAAAAACGCAAAAAATGTGTTTTTTTGGGGGGGGAAACACAATTAAAATCAATTCATTTTTAAAATACAAAAACAAAAATGCCATGCCAAAAAGAGATTTGTTTCTAAATTCATTTTAACAAGAAAAACACCATGCGCAAACTTTAAAAAAAAAGCAATTATCGACTTTTTAAGCCAAAATAATGTCTTTAGACGTTTAGATCCACTGCCCAGCACTGGAATAAAATCAAACCGAAGATGGTTCAGTTATGGATACATAAACACGCAAAAAACCAAAACCAGAACCTTAGAGAGGAAGCTCAACGGATGGGGCCGCCCAGATTATTCCTATATGATGATTCTACCCAAAAAGTCACCCTAGATCTGCTGAAGAAGAGGCGCGCTCGCTTTGCGCCCCTGCGCTCCTTTGCGCTCCTTTGCGCCCCTGCGCTCTTTCCGCGCCCCTGCGCGCCTCCTCCCACCTGTCGGCCCCGCCCTCGCCCTCCATTGGCCCGGCCAGCCCCGCCCCCGCCCCGCCCCCCCCGCCGGGCAGCCGCGTCTCCGGTGCGCCAAGGTGCGCGCCTCTCTCTCTCTCTCTCTCTCCGCGATGGGCTCCGCGCAGCTCCGCTTCCAGGCCTTCCTGCGGCGGCCGGGCTGGGTGGGCGACCTGCTGGGCCGCCTGGAGGCGCAGACGGGCGTCAAGAGGGACTACCTGGCCGCAGGTGAGCCTGGGCGCCCCGGGGGAGACTTCCCCAGCCAACCCGGGGGGGAAGCGCCGTGCGTAATAGAGGCGCAAGGCTCGCCAAGCCCTCTTCATCCCTCCGGGGAGGAGGGAGGACTCTGTCCATGCTCAGAAGCACCCTTTTCCCCTTGGAAAAAAGGGCCTGGGAGGGACCCCATCAGAAGGAAGGCTTGTTCAACTTGTTGTCGTCTTCTTCTTCTTATTAAATTTCCATTTTATAGTATTTAAGTACATCCTTCTTTGTTATCTCTTTGCTCATAGCAGCTAATCGACTTCCCTCCCTCCCCTTCATGGTTTTCGCCATTGTTTCTGTATCATCGCATTTGTACCTCTTCCAATTTACGTTTCACTTATTATAATTGTCCCATATTTTTAAAAAGTTTTTAAAATTCATTAACATTACAAGTCAGTTTAAATCAACCCTGCTAGTGTTAATTGTTTGCAATTGTCCTTCAAATATTGTTTAACTTGTTGTCTTTTAGTACGTACGGTACTTAATATTCTCCCCCCCCACTTCCTTTTTAAAATCCCTGACATTGTTGCTTTCCAAACATTGTTTGTCTCCTAGGTGAGTGGTCAGGAAACCCAGCCAGATGGACGGGGTATAGTTAATAAATTAATACTATTAATTATTATTAATCATAGCCCCACCCCCAGAAGGCATGTAGTCTCTGTAACCTGAAAATTCCTCAACTGCAACTTGTCTTGAGGTTCAAGTTGGATATTGAACTGGGATAGAGCATTTTTAAATAAAATCATGCAACCCCTGTTAAACATGCCAGTGTTGGGGTGTCTGTGTGAGAATCGTGGGCCTAAGTGTGCCATGTCTTTGCATCTCAGTAGGTCTACTCTGAGTAGGTAGTGACTGGCCCAAGGTCAGCCAGTGAACTTTGTGGCTGAGTGGGGATTTAAACCCGTCTCCCAGGTCCTAATGCAACACCCTGATCTCTGCCCCCACACTAGGACTGTAGGGCAAAGGGCTGGCAATAAAGCAATGAAATATCTTGTAATAATGAATGTTTAAACCCCTGGAGAAGGCTGCTCTGCTCTGTGCCTCTCTGCCCCCAAACAAAGCCCTCCTTTGCCACTATTGCATGTTCCACCCCCTTTTCTGCAGGTGGCTCTTTAACAGATGGGTTAAACTGGGGTCCCCCATCTCCCAAATTCAGTAATTAATTCCACAAGGTTAGTATTGCATACATGGGAATAAGCTGACGGGTGGAGTCTTGGCTCTAACCTTTAATAACGGGAGGTGATAAGAAACTTTAATTGCAAATTACGACAGAAAGCTTTTCAGCACAGAGGTTCAGGTGTGGCTTCCAGGTATGGGGACATTGTGGGGTGTTTTGCAGTCCCTCCATCCTCCCGAAATTGGCAAGAGATGACTTTTCGCTCCTTCCACGTGCCAAAGTTAATCTCCTTAGCATGTGATGCAGTGGGAGAAATCTTGGGAGATCTTTCCCTGCCCTGACCTACTGAGAGTTGTTTGGAGACCTCTGTATTCCCCTCCCCAGAATCTGCTTCCTTTCCCCGGGAAGAGGGCTTGATTGTTAAACAACTCTGGGAATTCTAACTCTGTCAGGGTCTCCTGAGACCTCTCAGCACCCTTAAAGGAGCGACAGTTCCCAGAATCATTTGGGAAACGCTACTGCTTTAAACGTATATCGTGCAGATGAGGCAGTAAGTCACACTGAAATTACCACATCCCTTTATCAGAGCAACTTGCAATCTTCCCTTCTCTAGAGAAACCCATAAAAATGGTCCTTTTCATGTCTAATACATGCCAAATGTGTGTGATTGTTGGCATCTCGGTTCCTTTTCTGACGCATCACACTAAACAGACACCCACCATCACTTGTTAAAACTGACCCAAGAAGTCCCAGATCTGTCCAAATTCGTGCATGGATAATCTGTTTGATGCTTTCCAAAAATGCATTCAATTTCTTTTAGTCCCTGAGGACACAGGTGCCTTTAGCCGCAGAGCTGGATCCAGCACCCCCCCCAGATGCACTTGCTCTGTCAGGGATCGGGGCCCCATCTGGGGGTTAGGCAACCCACTGCTCTGCCCAGGAACGCCACCCCCTGGTTCTGAGGGAGATGGACTTTTCCTGAGCTCCAGGTTGGTGCAAGGAAAATCACAAGCTCCCCGTTTGAAACTGACCAAGCTCTGCTAAGATACCCAAACGGTTCTTGCCGCACACGACTGAGGAACAGCTTGGGGGGAACGGGATAATCTTAAACCGGAATATCAGGTTTGTCACGGAGCAGAGTCCTGTTGCAACGGCGCGGTTTATGCAGGGCCGTTTCGTAAATGGAGAATTTACAAAAGCCTGCAGCCATTGCGAGTGTGGGAGGAAAGTGGCCTGTTCTGACCCAGGTTTGGAAACAGCCTTGTCAGGTGGATTATGGCTGCACACAAACACACGCTATACATTTAAAGCACCTTTCCTCCAGCAGAAAGAATCCTGGGAACTCAGCTTTTTGAAAAAGCATGTTGAGAATTGTAGTTTTCTGAGGGATAAACTACAGTTCCCACGATTCTTTGAGGAAGGGGGGGGACGTGCTGTAAATGTGTAGTGTGTATGTAGCCCTGGTGGTGGTGTGCTAAGTGTGCCCCCCCCCCATTTTATTGCATTCTCTTTTCCCCATACATTCTAAGCAAGTGAAAGGAACCAACAAATTCTCATCATTTCAGCTGCCTCTTCCTGGCTGTTCTTCTGCCATGGAGAGTCGCTGGCTTTAGGGTGAAGCCTTGTTTTTTGTGGTGGTTTAAAATGTTTTAAGCTCCTTGCCACTACAAACGGAATGGCTTTTATTTGCTCTTCTATTTAAGCTTCATTGTTTACTTTCTAAAAATGGTTTTATAGT